ACTTCGTGTAAGAAGCTCCGCAACCGAGAAATTAGCCATGGTACAGTTCTGTGCTGTGGACACTTACACTGTGTGCAGGTTTGGGAAAGACTTTTTCCAGCACCGGGAATGTTTACAAGCGCAGTATTTGCTTTTGCATTCGTTTTGTGCCACCTTTATTTATCCCACTTTCGACTGACGGGCTCGAGAAAATTACTGTACAAAACTCATTCTGCATGTTAAAGCCCGACCGGCAGGTTGCAAGTCATCTTTTCTCAAGATGCTGCACCTTGAGGCCCTCGTAACCGAGCAGCTGGCATCAAACTGCCAAATGCTCGCAAAGGATTTCCAACCAGGCAGGGCTGGGGCCTCTCAGAACTTGGCAGTGCAAACCTGCCAAGTTCTTCGAGGGGAAAAAAAAAAGGATCGGGTTGGGTGGGGGGTAGAAATCTGAATATGTACTTCGCGGTCTGGGCGGGAATCGCGAAACAAAAAGGTGATTCGTATTTTTGGGGTCGCACTGTACCGAACTGTATATGCGTCAAACAACTTCCGGTTTGTTTTTCCGAAAACGGTCAGGTCAAAGGGTTGGTTGTGATAGAAACAGTCGGTAGTTCTCGCCCTGCAAACTTCGCAGAGCTGGCGAGGTGGCTCTCTGCCAGATTGTGAGCTGCAAAACTGGCAGCCCTGCCAAGTTTCCAGCCCCGCTAGCTTGCACGAAACGAATGCTGGCTCTGAGAAGCCTAGTACTCGCCAGCAATTTCGTTTGAAGAATTCTTCGTTATCCAATCAGGTTCTGCCGTCCCACCCACTTCAACAGTACAAATATGCAACATGCTGGGCGGGCTTTAACCCTTCAAAGACAACGAATTGAAGGGTTAAACTTCGCAGGGATCTGAAAAATCCGGATCTACACGTGAGAAATCCAGAGACATCCTAAGAGAAGGACAAAATAGGACTGGGCAACGACTGTCTAGTTATCATTATGGACGGCACCTGAGACAACTGGAGATGTCTGAGCCAGGGCTCTTGATGTGTTTTCGGCCACCCAACCAGATACGTGGGAGGAAGTAGCTTCACATTGCCATAGCAGGGTGAGGGCCCGCTTCTTGTCAAGAATTGCAGGGTAGAACGTTTTCCAAGTCGAAAACGACGATTGCGATGTTGAGAGCTGAAGCTTTTCGTTGGGATGTTACCTACGATAGTTCAGTCTCGACTGACGGTTTGGCCTAGATTAGCCATAATTTAGATACCATATTCTGGAATGTATAGGGTGCTAGTCTGAGATCGCCCAGTGACTTTTTTATTGGGGTGAAGTACATCATACAATTCAGAAACACCACCACCAGTGGTCACAGTTTCTTAAGGGCCTAGGTTCGCCCAGTGTTATTACGGTATATCCTGCATCTGACAGGGTGTTATCATCACCGACACCTCTATCAATAATACATGAAAACAGGAGAAACACGAAAGCATGCCTTGTCTTTAGAGGCTTCGTCTGAAGGTCAGTTGTGTGGGGGTCACTTGCTTTGGACCACTTGTCGGGGCTTGGCTCGTTGGGAGCAGGCTTGAAAAGACCTAGGTAATCGCCCTGAATTAACAGAAACTTCAAGGTTTGTTCCAGCGTAGTCCGTATTGCGCAATGGTCTTCTCCAGCCAGCCCGGACTCACACCCGAGGAAATTTCGCGGGACCTTTTCCCCCACTCCTATTCCCCTCCCCATCCCCTTACGAACCCCTCCCGCTCCCTCAACCATCTCCTCCCCACCCCCTTCCCCCACATTTTTTGGCCTCAAATTTGCCCCCACCCATAGTCGCCTGGCCACCCTCCCCGATTCCCTCCCGCAAATCTCGCCCCACACCTCTCAAAGCCACATTCGGGAGCCCCCCGTGCTGGAAGTTGGGGTTATGTCATTCTGCATTACTTACAGATTGAGTCACCCTCTTACGTATGTGAGTTCCCTTCTCCCCCCTCTTCCCCACGGCCATGGTGCCGCAGGAGGGAGGCCAAACCCGGTAAGCCCTACCGAAGTGATGGCGTGCCCACCCCGCAAAAATTGGTGGCGCTCAGGCCTTTTTCGGCTCGGACCCTGATTCATCCGAGCAATTTGCGGTTCTATTCTTCAGAGGAGCCCAAATCGTCCGAGCTACAAAAAAACCTAGCCCAGGCTCTGGCTGGGAGGTAACCATGGCATAACAAGTTGGTACAAAGCCTGTCCAGAAACAGACTCATCGAAATTCGGCCTGTACAGCTGGTATGCCATTAGGTTCACGACATTTTACTCCATGTAATACTCCAAGGTCCGGAATTCGATAAGATTGGCCACGATGTACTCCGTCTGTACGGTATACATCTACTGTTGACTTCACTAAAAAAGCGCAATAAAACATTGTGACCAATCGCGCCACCCGAATTGGATGCGATCCCAGCATGTGAGTGTCGCCAACCAGCCCGCGAGTGCGAGCTCGGAAATTTCTCGTGAACTGTGCTTGGAATTGCCCGGCCAATACGCGCTTGCTAGGGCGATCAGACGTAATCACGACGGACCGGGGGGCGACAGCCAGCTGGTACCCCCGTCCACCTGGCAGTTTTGTATGCGCGCTGACCTGGGCATGAATACGTACCCCCTTTTTATCAATTCTGTCTTATTATTTTGGTCCTATTCTAATCCTTGTGTCAAGAACATTCGAGGAGTTTTCCATATTTTATAACCAATGACGTAAATATTTAGGCTTTTCGCGTAACACCAACAGGTCCGTCCTGATTCCAAAAACACGACCCCTGGTCCCTCAATTACTATTAACCAATGCACATTTCGAAAATGTTTTTCTTAAATGGTTTTTTTTCGCCTTCGTGAAAGTATGTGATTGGTTAACGAAACCGCTTAGGCGAGTTGTCATAATTTCGTTACATTAAGCCCTTTTCGTGAGACCACGAAAAGGGTTTTTCAAATGATATGATTTGCGCGTTTAGAGCCTGCGCTGCTTGCGGAAGGTCGAGAACGAGGTGTTACTTCTATTGTCCGAGGTAAGTCTGACCAGACGACAAATTTGCCGAACGTTTTTTAAGAAGCCACATGAGCCCTCATATGATACGCGGCGAAGTCGCTGGTAACCTGGCCCAAGGGCCGATACGCCAAGGCACCCATCGTGAATAGAAAGATTAAAACGGCCTACGCCACCCCACCTAAAACCATACGTGCTACTTAATAATCCATTTTGCCCGTAGTGAAAAGCTCTTATTCGTCGTAGTCCATATTTGCGAGTCGCGGATTTGGAGCATAGAGCATACCCCTTGTATTACCTTACAAACCAGTTTATTGTACAACTATGTTTACTGTACACCTAAATTTATTGTTAACGAGCTGGTGCATTTTCTCGCGTCATTTTCTCACCCAGCGCTTTCTCGAGCCGCGAAAACTTGCGCAAACGACGAGCTTCAGCGACCCATACGACAAGTTCCAGCTCCGCAATCGACAAGCTACAGAGGAACGAGAGAATCGCGCGGGACAGGTGGTTCGGTTGAACACCTGTTTCAGCTGGGGGCTTTTTTGGGAGGTGGGGGGCATTTGTCCTGGCAACCGAGCCTCGTAAATGCGGAAACAAACTGTTTTGCACGTCCCAGCAGCGCGTTTACACGTGTTCTTGAATTCAGACAGTCGAAAGTTTTGCGCGGTCCGTGCATGTATCCTCTGGCCAAAACGCCGGGCAAAATGTGCTTGTACGGCCGGTAGCGGCCGCAGTTTTGCAATAAATAGGGCTGGAGTGGCGCGTCTGTTCTGGCAAATTGTCAGGTAACCTGCCCCATCGCTAGGGCTGCAAGACATTCGCAACTGAAACGGAGTCTGCTTCGAAACTGATGAGCTGTCGCCAATCGGTAGTCAACTTCTTCGGCTTTAGATGACGTGTCTTAAGATTAACCAATAAAAAATCTCCTGAACCTTCCACATTAAAACATTCGTTCTTTACCTGGCGTAATGTCAAGACTGTGGCTGGTGAGGAAATTGCTAATGTTTTCGTCAGTCGAAAACAATCACTAATCTGATCGTTTCGACGAATCTCATTGGATGATTTAGAATCTCAAGGATATCTTGAACAGTAAGCCTTTGGTGCGTTTCATGTTACACAGTGATGTGCTCTTTCATTGCGTGATGAGAGCAGGGCCTATACATCATTGTGTCTTTATCCGGATTGTGCGAGGGACCATGAGTACTACGTGTTGTCATACCGGGTTCCCTTCCCTACCCATCAGTTCAAACATGGCCCGACTTTTCGAACGGTTATCCACGTTGGAATGCTGTGACCCGGGTGGCTCGCAGCGATAGCCCCAAGCCCCAATCCGTTAGAAGAGCAATCAGGGGGCCGACTCAATACCAGTGAAATAGTTGACGGGGGAAACTTGGCAGGCGGAGCCATGCCCTTCGCCTTTGTCACGATTTTGAAAAAAACTAGGAACTGACTTGTTGCACGCACAGGCTCCTTGTAGATCACATGAAAGCTTGCCTGATCAAGTGCGGGGCACTCATCAGAACAGTGGAAAGTTGGCAAAATGTCGCATTTGTTGTCCTTTCATTAGTTTTCCAGGAGGATACAAACGTAGTGTTCCCTTATAAGTGAGAGGCCCCCGTCTGTGAACATGGGGAATGAGAAGTTCATGAACAGAAAAAGAATGCATGCTTTGGCAGAAGTCTCGACTGTACACTACATTTGTCTGACTTTTGTGATCAGCATTCGAGACTCTGAAACGTCAACCACACGGGGAAAGCTTTCGAAAACCCGAAACGTCGACGTCACGGCAAAAGAAACAAGAGTGACTGCAGCACAATTTTGTTTCAACCAATGGGAGGCGAGGGACGAACCCTTGCACCACACTGTGCAGTGATCCAGTCCACTCTCCAAGGCCAGCCAGATAAAACACTGCACACACTCAACCCACGAGAGCCAATTCTCAAGTGTGAAGGAAACGTGTTCAGCCAGTCCTCAAAGGCTCCAGTGCAGGAAAGCACTTCCAACTTACAGTTCCTTACCAGGCAACCCCTCTCCTCTCTGCGGCTCTTGCCCCAGCCCTCTTCCCTTCACTCCAGCTTCTGCTTGAACTAGCTTGTTACCATCTACTAGTGACTAGCAGCTCAGAAACGACAATTTCACGCGAGCCCTCAGAGAGCGCGAGAGCCTCAGACAGCCTTCCCCTCGGCCTCATCCTAGAAAATGTCTCCTGTAGCTCTCCGCTGGTAGCAAAACTCCTACTTATAGAACCCAGGGTGTGTTGTTGTCAGACCAATTCCGTCTAGATTCATTGAATGAGATTCAAAGGGGTGAGGATCCTGAAGAATAGATAGGATAGTAGCAGAATAGGAGAGTCCGCGGGGAGAGTCAGCCTCAGGCTGTTTCCCAGGGCGAGGAGCAGCATATGGCGCCAGCGTCTGACTCCAGCTGAAAGACCAGACGGCTGATGCTGTGAACGTGTCTCCAACTTCAAGGTGGGGAAACAAGGCTTGGGGTTATTTGAGCCGCCTAATAGCAGCAGCCTGAGGCGGTGATCTTGCAGTGTGCCACTTCCCACTACTAGTAGTACCTCATTTTTGGAGCAGTCTCTAAAATTATCCATCTTTTGGCAGATGCGTTGGCGGCACCACCAACGTCCTGAGAGTCACTCATTTAGTATCCAAGGGAGTTATTTGCTATCTGGGAGATGCAGCATGACGCGCGCACACAGGGGCAGACTGGGGGAACGGGGACCGCATCGGCCTCGCAGTCGCAGCGGCAAATACTGCCGCGGCCGCAGCAAAGGTTGCAGCAGGTGCAACATCAGCAGATGCAGCATCAGTCGATGCTGCAGCTGCAGCAGTTGCATCAGATGCCACATCAGCAGATGCTGCAGATGCAGCACATGCCACAGTGGCAACAGAAGCTACAGCCGCAGCTACAGATGCAGCAGCAGGCTCAGCCAGCGCAGCTACCACAAGACCGGATCCAGCAGCTGTCGTCAAAGCTACAGCCGCTGCTACAGCCAAACTTGCCACAACTACCCCTACAAGGTGAGCCTTCAGTCGGTGCAAGCCCATCAGAGCCTAGCAGACGCATGAATATGCCCCGCAACCGGAACTACAACCAGCCAGGGAAGTACCGCGGAGTGAGAAAGCGAGGGGAGTTTAGATACATAGCAGAAATTAAGGACACCAGTAGTGGGGTCCGGAAGTGGCTGGGGACGTTTGCAACTGCAGAGGAGGCTGCTCTGGCGTTCGATAGAGCGGCTGTGGAGATCCGAGGAGCAAAGGCTAAGCTTAACTTCCCAGAAGGTTTTAATCCGGGAGAGGGAGGAGTAGCCTCGGGGCCTGCAGCATTGGAAGCAGCAGGTATGAAGGGAATGGCAGGCGGCGGTGCAGGGAAGGATGGTGGGAGGAAAGGACTTGGAGAGAAGAAGAAAGGGGTTGGACAGGTTGGGGAGGGCGGTACTACTAGGAGCTCTCGATGGAAAGGGAAGAAGGTGGAGCATGTTGAAGATGCTGCGGACGGGAGATGGATCGGAGAGGCTGCGGGTACGACACGGCCTTTCAGAGAGGGAACAAGCGAGGGGGCGGCAGCAGCGGCAGCAGCAGCAGGAACAGGTGCAGGATCAGGGGCAATATGGACAGCAGCAGTAGCTGAGGCTGCGGAAGGGGGAGGAGGACAAGGAGGAGGAGGAGCGGTAGCAGCAGCGGAAACCAGTGCGGGAGCAACAACACGCACCCCTGAAGCGAGCTCCACTGTCAGTCGCAGCAGCTCCAGCAGAGCTACCCCTTCCTCATCCGACCCTTCCACCTCCGCCCCTTCCACCTCCGCCCCTTCCACCTCCGCCCCTTCCACCTCCGCCCCTTCCACCTCCGCCCCTTCCACCTCCAACCGTTCCCCCGCTGCCCATTCCCCTGCTCCCCCTTTCCCCTCCGCTCCTTCCACGTCTGCCCCTCCCACATCCACCCCTTCGCCCACTGCTCCTTCCACCTCTGTCCCTTCCACATCTGCCTCTTGTGCCTCTGTCTCTGCCCCGCCCTTTACCTCCCCTGCGTTCTCCGCCCCTGCTCCTCACACCAGCATGCTTTCCCCTTTCATCGCGCCCGTCTCTTCCGGCCCTGCCGACACGCCAATATCCGGTGCTACCACGGAGGGGCATACAAACCTGCTGTTTAAGTCATCAGGTGCTGTCATAAATGAAAGGGAGTTACTGGGTTTTGATGAGCCCGGAGCGGGCTTGGGAGGTTTGAAAGCAGCTGGGGTTGGGGTAGCTGCAGGTGAGCTGTGGTCTTCAGTCCTCGCAGAGGAATTTTCCCAGCAGCTGCGGGGGTTTGAAGAAGCTGGAGGGAGTGGAGTTGGTGGGGAGAGAGGTGAGGACGGAGGAGGAGAGGGAGAGATGTCTTCAGGGGAGGAGAGTAGCGGAAGCCGAGAGAGTGTGGGTGGAGAGGGTGGTACGGAGCTGGGGATGGGGGAGGGTGGTATGGAGCTGGGGATGGGGACAGGGATAGATGAAGAAATGGCTGGCCTTGGCACTGTTTCTCATGGTAGTTTTGTGGCCGCGGTGATGGGATTGGGGGAAACTGATCGGTACTATCACACGCCACACCTCTATCACTCCCAGAAACAGCAGCGGCAGAAATTGGAGTTGCAGGTGCAGTTAGAGGAGCTTCAGCAGCAGCAGCAGCAGCAGCAGCAGCAGCAGCAGCAGCAGCAGCAGCAGCAGCAGCAGCAGCAGCGGCATGCGAGAACCTTCTCGCGACGCAGCTCTGTTGAGCGCAGGGGTGAAATGAATATCACGGCTGTAGCACGATGCTCGTCTGCAGGCCTCACGAACGATCAGCAGCAGGAGCGGAGGGGGCAGCAGCTGAGGAGCCACAATCCAAAGTTGGAGCAAAACAGCACCGTTTCCGAGCTTTCCAATCAGCCGTGGCCCGAGAATCAATCCGACCCTCGTTCCCGGCCTCATTCCGAGCCCGTGCCTCTGTGGCCTCAGAGCCACAGTGTATCTTTCCCCCTGGAGTCACCTGTCCTTAGAGCTCCAACCCCTGAGTACCTGCCTTCTAAGGGCGATACAGGTGCTGCAGGTGGTGCGAGTGCTGTGGGTAAAGCTGGTGTTCCTGGTGGCACGGGTGCTGTGGATGGTGTTGCTATGGATGGTGTAGCGGCTGCTGTAGGTGTAGCTGCTGCAGGTGCTGGTGTGGGTAGTGGAGATGGTGGGGATCACAGCATGGTGGTTGAAGGGATTGGCAGTGCTGCCGGTGCTGCTTGTGTTGTGGGTATTGCGTTCTGCCCGGCCCGTTCTCCCAAAACGGATCCGAGCCTCGCTCTTCGCAGGGTGAGGCGAACGCGGTCTCGGGACCAGGGGCAGCTGGACAGGACACTGCTGCACGCATCAGCATTCCAGCCTAGAGTGCCTGCTAGCAGGTACGGTCAGGGGCTCATGAGGCTCTCACAGGGGCAGACGTGGGGCCCTGCTAGCAAGTACGGCCAGGGGCTGATGGAGCAGCTGCTGCAGCAGAGAATGTTGGACGGGCAGCAGAGGCCGTGGGTGGAGGAGATGCTAATGGTGCAGCAGCAGCAGCTGCAGCAGCAGTTGGTGGAGGAACAGTCCCAGCAGCAGCAGCAGCAGCGGCCAGTGCAGCAACAGCAGTTGGTGCAGAAGCAGGAGCACCAGCAGCAGCAGCAAGAGGAGAAGCAGCAAGAGCAGCAGCTGCAAGGGCCACTCAGTCCCTTCCAGCGCCCTCTCGTCTCTCGCAGCCACTCTGTTCCCACAGTGACCTCTCTTCTCTTGACCTCTGCACTCTTGACCTCTGATGCCCGCCACTCACACCCTTTTCTTCCCACTCCCGCCTCACCACCTATCTTTTTCAACAATAATGCCAGCTTGCACGTACACCATGGCACGGAGCAGGGCAGTGCAGCCAGCAGCGACAGAGACGTGTTCATGCAGGAATTTCCAGCAGAGGGATTTGAGGCTGCATACGGTGGTGGTGGTGCTGCTTCTGCTGCTTCTGCTGCTGCTGCTGCAACTGCTCCTGCTGACCAGCCTAGTGCTGACCAGCCTATTGGATACCAGCACATAATGGCAGACATCAGCGTTCCTCTGAGCGGTCCTCTGCCTCACCCCTCAGTGGATGGGGTGCATCTGGAGGGTCTCCAGGACGTTGCCTCTACACCCGAGAATCGCACGTCCCCACTCTTCCTGGAAGCTGGGCCGCACACTGCATATGCTGCTGGGGGTCCCGGCTCCAAGCTTTCCCTGGAGAATGTGTCACACGCTGCATTTGCTGCTGGGGGTCCCAGCTCCCCGCTTTCCCTGGAGAATGTTTCACATGCTGCATTTGCTGCCGGGGCTCCCATGCCTCCATCCCCACTCTCTCACGTCGAGAGTGCAGCCCGATACAGGTACGAGAATTATTCCAGTGTTGTCCCCCTTATGGAGCATTCGGGAATAGCCGGTGTAGGTTTGGGGGTTTGGGGAGAGGCTGCTGATGTAGGAGGGTCGGCCCATACAGTTGATCCCCAACATGAAGGGGCAATCCCCGCTGGTGCTGGAATCTACACCATTGATACACTAGAGAGGTTATTGATGGATAATGGGGAGTGAAGGGAATAAGAGTAGCTGTGTGAAGCGTGATTGTTTTTTTGTTGTTTTTGGCGTGATTGGTTTTTTCTGAGTAGCCTATTTGTTCATTTCATGTATCCCTAGTAAATTATCATTTTCAGCTTTGACTTAAAAAAAAAAAAAAAAAACCTAAAGGAAGTCGGCCTTGATATTATCAATGTCTGCTTATTCGAGCAAAGATTTGCTCCATTGAAATTTCTAATACATTTCGGTCCTCCAGCAATACAGTATTTCTTACATTCTTAAGTGATGGCATCTAATGTAAGAATAGCAAGAGAACTTCTGACTAGGAAGAGGGGAGGGGAGATACAAGTACAAATAGTTGTGCTCTCTAAGAGCTGACGTAGCTAGGATATTTAACAAACATGTCTACCCTATCTAAATAAAGATATATCGTAACATATGTTTGTTGACACACCCCCTAGCCTTGATAGAGGCAGCGTTTAATGAACCAAGGCAGCACTACTAGTCTGACCAATGAGATAGGAGGCCACAAGGCCAGTCAGCAGTCTCAAGGTAACGAATTAGTTACGGAAATAAGATACCGTGGGGTTTTGTGCTAAGGGGTTGTACCCTCTAAGAGTACACACCTATCAAGCCTACAATAATATAAATAAATGTATCACACCTAAAAGTATAAATAAATGTTTGACACACCCCCTAGGCTAGATGAGGGGCAGTGCCTGGCAAGAGACACGCAGCTCTGGGTGGCACTACTAGTCCAACCTCTGAGGCAAGGGTCCGAACACCAGTCAGCTGGAGTCCAACCTAAACAAGAGTAACCCAGGGCGGCACTACTAGTCCAGTCACTGGAACAAAAGCCACAAGGCCAATCAAGATAATATAAAAAAAAGTACACAATAAGGGGAATAGCAAGTGAGAAGCTATAGGAACTAGACCAAGCTGTACACATCGCCACTGATGATCTTTAGGCGCAAGCGCCTTCGTAAAGATATCAACTGTGTTGGCACATGAGGCCAAGTGTTCTACGCGGGCCTGGCGTCGCTGCTGTAGCTCGCGAAGGAGAAAGTACTGCAGCTGGATGGACGTCGCTCTGCCCTCCAGTCGAGGCTCCTGACACAGGAGGACCATGGCCCTATTGTCAGCGTACAGGACCGGGGCAGAGCTAGGCTGCTCACCTAAGTCTGTGAGCAAGAAAGTGAGCCAGCGGAGCTCTTGTGCCACCATGGCACCAGCGTAGATCTCAGCCTCACTGTTAGATTGGGCGACAGACGACGAGCGGGTGGACCTCCACAACATGGCACGTGCATCAAGGCTAAAGCTGTAGCCCTGGGAGGACCTGAGAGTCTCAGCGTTGTCTGCACACAAAGCATCATTGTGCCCTGTAAGGACCACTGCCCTACGTCCTCCTAGCACTAGCCCCATGCCCGATGTACTTGCTAGATAATGCAAAACCCTCTTGGCGGCCGACCAGTGCTGTGGTCGGTGTCTGCCTGTGGCCACAAAGCGAGCCAGGATGCTGAGAGGGTATGCGAGATCTAGACGAGTGCAACTCATCAGGTACATGAGGCAACCCACCAGCTTTGAATACGGACCACTGGGATCTACTAACTCCTCAGGAACTGGAGATGAGAGTCTGTGATCAACTGGCAGAGGTGTGGGCTGTGCGGAGGGGAACTGAAGACCGAACCTCTGAAGGACCTGGCGCACCAAGTGTGACTGTGTGAGAGTGATGGTGTGCCCTGTTCTGTCCCTAAAAATATGCAAGGCAAGGTAGCGGCGCAGCTCTCCTAGGTCAGTGCAGGTGTGTCTCCTCAGCAGCTCGGCCTTCACGGAGGCCAGTATGTCTCTGTCAGAAGTAGCAAAGGCCAGATCGTCTACAAAGACAAGGATGTAGAACGGGGTCTGGCCTGAACGAACGAAGAGCGAAGGGTCTGTAGTGGACGGGAAGAACTGTTGGTCAGCTAATGTAGCACGAAGCATGTCGTGCCACTCGAGCGGCACCTGCCGCAGGCTGTAATCCAGGCGCTGGAGGAGCCACTGGGTCCCCAGGGCAAAGGTGCCGGTGAACCCTGGCGGGAGACGTAGGTAGACCTGTTCGTGCAAACGGCCCTGAAGAGATGCTATGGAGAAGTCGAGAGAGTGCAGCTCATAGTCACGCAGTACTGCTATGTGTAGCAGCGCCCGAAGAGTAGTCATCTTCGGGGTCGTGGCGATTGTCGAAAAGAAGTCAACACCCTCACGCTGACAGAAGCCTTTGGCAACGTAGCGCGCCATGAACACCGGCCACTCTCCAGGAGGGCGCTTCACCTTGAAGAGCCACCGGCCATCGACTACGTTCACCCCAGGTGGGGGAACTGCGTCGATGTAGGTGCCAGTGAATCTCCAAGATGCCATCTCCACATCCATGGTAGTTATCCACTGAGAGGCCCAGGGTCCCGAGGTCGCCTCACCGTAAGTGCAAGGGGTCGGGATGTCAGCGGCGTCTGGGTCACCCTCAGGGACTAGCAGCATGGAGCAGAGATGAGGCACGGCCTTTGACAGGAAAGCTAGCTCGTACTTTCAGTCCTCCCGGACGTCCGTGCCAAGGGCAGGAGCACCCCGGACGGACGGAGGACGGGCAGGGTCAGAGACCAGAGCGGTGGCGTAGTCAAGGCGGTGGCTAGAGGCAAGGTCAGTGATGGCAGCGACAAGAGCGTCAAGACTGGAGATAGGAACAGACACCCCAAGACATGGAACCCGGTCGCTTTGAGTGTGGCCACATGTTCAGCTGGTGAGCAGTGTAGCGAATGCGAACGGCCACAGAAAATGGGGTGCACCGGCATGGATCATGGAGGTACGAGCCACCTCCATGACCAAACCGATGCATCGCTCAGCGACCCCAATCTGCTGTCGGGAGTCCGATAGGGTGTACAACTAGGTGATGCCCTCCGCACGACAGAACTGGCCAAGCCGACCGGAGGCGAACTCGCCACGACGGTCAGAGTGATGACGCAGCACAGGGAGGCCACGGTGAACTCGCGTAGCGACGATACACGAGATCATAACGTCAGGCACGTCGGCCTTCTGCTCCAGAGGAAACACCATGGTGTAGCGCGTGTAGTCGTCGACAAGCACTAGAAAGTAGCGTTGTCGACGCAGCCCAGGGACTCGGGCTGGGCCCAAAATGTCCAGGTGCAGGGTCTGGAGTGGTGCAGTGGTAGGGGGAAGCGAGGAGGAGTGAGGAGCACGGCGCAGCCGGCCCTCAACACATGGTGTGCACGGCGGCACAGGCGAGGGAGGGAGGGCAGGGAGCATCGCAGGGAGACCGAAGACAAGACCGCGATGGAACATGTGACGCAGACGCGAGAGTGCGGGCTACCTAGCCTATATACATATATGTATGATATAAGCGTTGGCATGTTGCACTTCTGACTGTTGAGTTGCGAGCAGGGTTCTATTTATCTGACTTTTTTTGCCTGATTGTCTGAAGTGCAAACCTGAAATTGTGGCTTCGGACTGATTTTCAAGAAATTGGAACACTTTACCGTGTACTTCTTAGATAAACTAAACAGTTATGCAAAACTTCATATACATAACGTGTCTTCATAATAGGAGTTGCAGTTTCTAGATTCAGACAATCAGACAAAAACATCTTATAAATAGAACACTGGTAGTGAGGTCAACTGTCTGCAACCTTTGCCCTTTCGTAACCTTTCACAGGGGCGTCGGGTCAGGAGAGAGAGGAGTAACAGGAGGGGAACGAGGTGGGAAACGCGCCTGTGATGAGTCCAGCGGAGGAAACACAGGACCATGGACAGGAGGAGGAGGAGGCAGTGGAGGAGGCGCAGGCGAGCAGTCAGGGGAGGAAAAGCCGAGTAGGCAAAGGGCGGACACCGGCGGCGACTGCTGCTGCTGCTGCTCGACGACGACACCGGGACCGCCAGCTGCACCGCGGCTACCTCCAGAACACTCCACTCAAGCACCCCCAGAGCAAGAACCCTCTCCAGCACCGGTGCCACCCCCGAGCCCACCGGGACAAGCCACGACAGGAACCCCAGGACTAGCACCCTCCTCAACGCCAGCACCCCCAGAGGCCACGACCGGCTGCTACTGCTGCGACGGCGGCGGCTGCGACGGCGGCGGCTGCGACGGCAGTGGCGGCGGCTGCGACGGCAAGGGCGGCGGCTGCTGTGGCGGCGGCGGCGGCTGCGACGGCGGAGGAGGAGATACCAGGGGAGAGACGATCGACAAGAACTGCGTCGCAGGGCCATTGGAGTGAGCCCACTCCTCGACCGGGACAACCAACGGGAGGGGAGTTGTGAGAGTACGACCCCGTTCCATTCCTTTCCATTTCATTCCTCTTTTTTATCTTGATTCATTTGGTCTTTATCTCATTCCATTTGGATTCCTATTTCTTCTTTTCCATAAACCTTTGGTTTATCATGTTATTATCATTATATCACCGACCAGGCTCGGGATGTACTGGTACGCTATATCTAGTGTAATCCTGCCGTAATCCCTTAAAGCCAATAGCCTCGCATGGCTATACGCAGGGTGATTATATTTTCTAGAAGGGTCTATTCCCTTGGGATAGGATAAACCTGGTTACCTGATGTACTTTGGAAGTATAAAAGCGCCTTGTATCAATCGATAGTGCAACCTTTCCTCGACACATTCGATCCTGTAACACTTGGTATCAGAGTTTTTCTCACTCGGCCGCGCTCAGCTAAGCAACAGCAGCGGGACTCCTGCCTCGAAAAACCGCCGGGGGCGACCAATTCGACGCCGATTCTGGTAAGCACCAGCTCCGCGTTTTTTCGAATCACCCCTTCCGCGCGTGTTTTGAACAGGATGACGAACTTCGACAATGCCGAAGTTATCCAGCAGCTCTTCGCACGCATCGCCGCCCTACAGGAGGAGATGCGAGCTGACCGCGAAGCTTGGCGACAAGAGTTCGAGCGAGTAACTCGACTCGCCGGCGCGCAACACGAAACGACAACGGCGACGACGCAGCAGTCGCAACAGTTTCTCGAGGCTCCGAAACCGCGCCCACCTGAGCAGTTCGATCCGAGCGATCAAAATTCCGACGTCCGCAGATGGATCGCAGGCATGGAGATCTACTTCGCAGCCGTCGGATGGAGCTCGCCAGTCTGGGACGG